AATCCCTCCCACATTTCCATTTTCCCTCCCCCTGAGCCTATCACCAGTGCCCTTACCTTTATGTGAATTGGCTTGCTTTAATTTAATTTTAATTTTAATTGAATTTATTTTTAATTTTATTTGTCGCGCTGCTGATGACGTCAGGTACGCGCTTTAATCGGGCGTGCTTTAGTTAGTGGACCGCGGTTTTGTCGTGCCACGGTTGATTTCTGCCTATATTACAAGAATCTCCATAGACTGTTTTCTTTCCCTTGGAGCAAACAGATACGGTTTCGTGGACCTTGGTGGTGTGTTTGTGGGGAAGGGTTATACCTCTTGTGGCTGTGCAAGAACTCAAGGCTAGTTCCCCACTTGATCCTCATCCTTGCCTGGACTTGGAGTTTTCAAAAAGAATCCTGTTTAGGGGAAAAAAGCCACCTTGGTCCACATACATTCAGACTTTCTATATTCGAAAGAGAACCCTCCACCTCCTGTGAATCATGAATTTTAATCCTGCAGTATTTGCAAGTGCTCTGCTGAAATTTGGCAACCTCCCTGCCTGAGGAAACTTATTTTTTTCAGCTGCTTGACAGCCAAAGCTTTATTAGCTTTCTTCCTGTATTTGCATTTTTTTTAAAAGTCAAGCTGTCTGGATTCCATTGGTGAGGAAATATGTATACTTTGGTCATTTCTTCTCCAAAATGAACAAAGCAAAATTCTCATCAACTCTGTATTAGAAGATACTGCAAAGTTGTATATTGGACTCCTGCAATATAAGGGCCTTACAAAAAGGAGATGAGAGGGTTGGAGCCCAGAGACAGATTTTCTGTGGTTGACTCCACCTTGCAGAATAGCTTCCCCCATGGAAGTTGTTAGCTTTTACCTTGGATCATCTTAGGTATAGATAAAGGTTCCCCTCTCGCACATATCTGCTAGTCATTCCTGACTCTAGGGACGTTGCTCATCTCCGTTTCAATGCCGAAGAGCCAGTGCTGTCCGAAGACATCTCCGTGGTCATGTGGCTGGCATGACTAAATGCCAAAGGCGCACGGGATGTTTTTACCTTCCCACCAAAGGTGGTTCCTATTTATCTACTTGCATTTTCACATGCTTTCGAACTGCTAGGTTGGCAGAAGCTGGNCAACATGAGAGTAAGGCCACAGGTGGACGATGAATGGCCCCTCTGAGAGGCAATAAAAGAGGAGCGAAAGGGAAGTGGAGTTTGCAGGAGACAATTAGTTCGCTTAATTGTTTCGTGACTCTTTGTGATTCCTTGCCAAGTTT